GTTTTCTGGTACAAATGTCTAAACATTCTTAAGATACATTTACTAGAGGAGCAAACTTAAGATATTAAGTTTTGTTTTCTGAAAAAAAAAATGAGTGAGTTTTGTTTCAAACAAGAAAAATGATGCCAGTGGGGTGAGAAAAATAAACTTGTTTTCCTTTTGGATTAAGTTTTTTTTTCTGACCCCATCAGCTGATATGTTTTATATATGATTTACTATATATATATATGATATACTATATTTTACTTTGATAATGTCTTTTATTTAATATTTTGTATTTTTAGGGGATTTTATGGTACTAAATTATATTTATGCCGTAGTTATAATCAATTTTTTTACCTGGTAGCTACTTTTTGAGCATAGACCTGAAAATGAAATTATTAAAAAAAATTTTTTTTTTGAAATTTTGTCACTATTTATGAAGAAGATATTTGGCAGATTATAGCCACAGTGAAAAATGTAAAAAAAAAAAAAAGAAAAGTTAATGTAAAAAAAAAATTATGGAAGTTAAAAGTTCATTGTTATGAAAAATGCACAAAAATATTAATTTCAGATTTTATATGAAATATATATTTTCCAAAACTTGTTTTTCTCTAAAACTGCTAGCAAATCAAAGCTAGAAATCTAATGAAGTTGTGTTCCAAATTTGAGGCTGATATCTCAAAAAATGAGCATTCAATAAGACTTTGTTTGGGTGCAGTACCAAACGTTTCCACCAGATGAAATTCGCTTCTCATTCATTTCCAATGCAGTCATTTTTGACCACGAAAAAACAGTACAAGCGTGACATTTTTTTTCCCAGGACCATTTAACCTTCTCGAATCATGTCCATGTTTTTTTTGTGTGTGTGTGTGCTCACATAGCAAGTGCCAAAACCTTTACCAGGTTTTGTACCATTCTGATAAAGTAAAAAAAAATATAAAAAAACTACAGTCTAAAATTGTTCAGTCAAAACTAACCCAAGAGTGCCAGAGGTTTAAATATTTGTTTAAATATTTGCACTAAAAATGAAGACAAAAATACAAAGTAAGAATAATTTTTTTGCATTGTGGTTCCTCAAAGAACCTTTCAGCAAACAGTTCTTAAAAGAACCATTTTATTCTAAGTGTGAAGAACATTTTAATAATATAAAGAATCTTTTTACACTGTAAAGAACTTTGGAAAGGTTCCACGGATGTTAAAGGTTCTTCATGTAGCCATCAATAGGAATTATTTTTAAAAGCATAGAGACACATTTACTCTTGTTTAATATCCTGTTTTAATCTGAAACACTCCAGCTGAAGCTGCTCGGGAATACAGAGAATATTCACCACATAAACGGCAGTGTTTCACATGTTGTTGCGGATAATAGATGACAAACACGAATGGTCCAGCACAGTTTCACTGCTGTAGCTGAAACAAGACTCCATAGAAAGAAAACAGCTGAGGTTTGAGCTGCAAAAATCTGAGAGAGCATTGAAAATCTGGAAACAGAGAGTTTTAAGATCAAATCTAGCTGGAGAACGTGATCACCAGGTTTAGTTCATGTAGCTGCTGTCATCAAAGCAGAGGAAACACACCAAATACTAAGAAAATGCATTTTTAATTGAACTGTTCCTACTTTTACCCGTTAGGCCTGTCGCAATAATCAATATATCGACTTATCGCGCAATATATGTACATGACCTCAATCATTTTTGGTGACGCAATATATCGCACATTATATTTACTTAAAAATTAATGTCACCATGTTTTGTACATTCCAATTGCGCCTGTGTCTTTTGCAGCTTCTCGTACATAACGTGGTGTAGTCGGTGCTAGTTCACATTTAAAAAATGCTTCTACAAAAAAGTTTCTTCTGCAGATATGGCCTTAGTTAGGGATCTGTGTCTTTGTGTATACGCACATCTGACTGCTGAGAAGTGATTGTATTTTTCAGCAATAGTGTGCACCCTTAATTTACAGAGAAAAGAAGGTCAGGGAACAATCTGTAGATGGAAAAATCTCCATACAAGTTATTTGTGCATTTTTTTTTCTTTTTTTCTTCTTGCTACTTTGCACTTTTTGTTAAAAAATGTTTATTTAGTATTTATTCAGGTTTTTTAAGGTATCTAATATTTTGATACTTAATTTCCATGATCAAAATATTCTTAAAAATTAAAAGTTTGTTGTCATTTGGAAGTGTGTAGGCCTTCTTGCATTATTATGCTGTTACATTACGTTGTTACGCTGATTATATGTTTAATAGTGAAAAAAGGTATTTAAGCTAAAAATGCAAAATTGCATAAATGTACAATTTGAGCTACAATGATGCATGTTAATGTTCTCGTTAATGATGAAGGTCTCAATTAAAAAATTTTAAACGGCAAAGCTTATTAACTTCCATTTTTTTTGTCAAGCTGATTGTATATTTTTTGTGAAAAATGGTATTTAATACTAAAAGATGTAAATGTACAATGTGAGGTACAATTATGTACGTTAATATTGTCATTAGTGATGAAGGTCTCTTAATTAAACTTTTCGAACTTCAAAACTTAACTTTACCTGTTGTTAAGCTGATTATATGTTTTGTGCTAAAAATATTACTTTTAATGCTAAAAGCACAAAACAGAAGTAAATGTACAATTCGAGCTACAATGATGTGCATTAATGAAAGACTAATGACAATTAAACTTCAAAACTTTTTAACTTTTACCAATTGTTAGGCTTATGATATAGTAAAAAAGAGAGATATTTAATGCTTAAAATACAAAACGGATATAAATGTACAATTTAAGCTACAACGTCTCGTCTTAATTATGATGGTCTCTCAGTTAAATTTTTCGAACTTCAACATTTTTTAACTTTTACCAATTGTTATGCCGATTATATATTTTATATTGATACATTTTGTATTTATTAATGTTAAAATTGCAAAACAGAAGTAAAAGTACAATTTGAGCTACAGTGATGTGTGTTAATGAGACTTTCATCAGTGTTGGGGGTTACAAGTAACGCGAGTTACGTAATCAGATTACTTTTTTTGAGTAACTAGTAAAGTAATGCATTACTTTCACATTTAAAATGAAGTATGAGTTGCTTTTTCAAATAAGTAACGCAAGTTAATTTGTTTTCCCATTTATTCACTGACATCCCCCCCATCCCTGTGTTGAAAGAAATCTGAGTAAACCGAGGCAATTCCTTCAGCCTGAGGTATATTAATTTCATTTTTGGTGTGAAAGGGCCCTTGCAGTTGCCAAGTGTCGCACCCCATTGGACTTTTGTTGTGTTTTCATCCCTCATGTGCTCTGTGTGGCCTAGTTTTCCCTCTTGTTTGATCGTGTCATTCGGTTCAGGTGTGTCTCATTGATTATCTTCATTTGCCTTATGTATTTAAGTTGTGTTCAGTTCTCTGTTCCCCAGTGTTTGCCCTATTGTGGATTATTAAAGGCTATTTGCATTCATCTTCATCTTCGCCGTGCGTTTATCTCACTGTAGCGTGACACCAAGAATATAACTTTAAGGTTTTTTTGTTATAAAAAAAAAAAAAAGCAAGCCCAGCCCAGGTGACAAAAAGTAGCGCAAAAGTAACGAAATGTGTTACTTTCCATAAAAAGTAACACAATTAGTTACTTTTTCATGGAGTAACGCAATATTGTAATGCATTACTTTTAAAAGTAACATCACTAATGACCACAATTAAACTTTCAAACTTCACAACTTTTACCAATTATTATGTGCACTATATTTACTAGTAGAAACAAAAACGTATGTAATGTTTAAAATGCTAAACAGGTCAGTGTATAATTTGAGTTACAATGATGTGTAAATGTTCAAACTTTTAACAATTGTTAAGCTGATTATATATGTTTGTGGTGAAAATGGTATTTAATGCTTACACTGCAAAAAAGGCTTATCTTACTTGGTATTTTTGTCTTGTTTCTAGTCAAAATATCAAAAAATTAAGATGCATTTACTAGATAAGCAACATGACATAAGATATTTAGTCTTGTTTCCTGGGGGGAAAAAGTAAATTGTGTATTTTGCTTAAAACAAGTAAAACTATTTACTTGTTTTAAATAAAACAATATATATATTTTGCTTACCCCATTGGCAGATAATTTTACTTGTTTTAAGCAAAATACACTTAATTTACTTTTTTTCCCCCAGGAAACAAGACTAAATGTTTTGTCATTTTGCTTATCTAGTAAATGCTTCTTAATTTAAGAACAAGACAAAAAAAATAAAAAATACTAAGCTTTTTGTTCCTTAGTATTTTTGTCTTGTTTTCTAGTATAAATATCTACAAATTCTTGAATCAGGATGCATTTACTTGACAAGTAAAATTACTTAAGATCAGTGCTGTCAAACGATTAATCACATCCAAAATAAACGTTTTTGTTTACATAATATATGTATGTGTGCTGTGTATATATATTTCAGAAAAAAATGTAATGTTTATATATTAAATATATTTATTTCTAATATAAATTATATGAATATAAATATAAATATAGACACGTAAATATTTTCAAAATATATACTGTATGTGTGTGTATTTATATATTCATAATATATATACACAGAACACATGCATATATTATGCAAACCAAAACTTTTATTTTGTATGCGATTAATCGTGATTAATCGTTTGACAGCACTACTTAAGATATTATGTCTTGTTTTCGGAAAACATTATCCAAATTTGGTTAGTTTTTGCTTAAAACAAGTAAAATATCTGCCAATGGGGTAAGAAAAATAATCTTGTTTAGCCTTCGAATTAAGATTATTTTTCTTACCCCACTGGCAGATATTGTACTCGTTTTAAGTAAAAACTAACAAAATTTGGATAATGTTTTCAGAAAACAAGACATAATATCTTAAGTCATTTTACATGTCATGCATCAGTAAATGCATCCTGATTCAAGAATTTCTAGATATCTACGATATCTACATACTAAGGAAGAAAATCGTTTGTTTGCAGTGTATGCTACAGTGATGTGTGTTAATGTTGTTAATGTTGTCCTCTCTCTCTCTCTCAGAGAAGAACAACAGATGAATGTTATTTCCTCGAGCGCCTGGAGTCAAACAACTACAACACGTACCGATCCCGCAAGTATCCCGACTGGTACGTGGCTCTGAAGAGAACAGGCCAGTATAAAGCGGGTTCGAAGACCGGCCCGGGCCAGAAGGCCATTCTGTTTCTGCCCATGACAGCCAAGTGCTGATGGAGAGATGCGGTCAAACACAGAGCGAGACGACAGACCACTGACGCAGACGCACTTCTAACCAACCTTACGCCAAGTCACGGAAAAAACGCTTCTATCTAGGAACGCTTCCCAAACAGATTCACTTGGAGAGCATTACAGGGTTTATTTGTTCGTGTTCAGTCACCCTGGAGATATCAGCAATATCCATCCAGCAAAGACCATCTCAGATCCAACTTTCCACAATACTCTATTATTCCACTGTATTCCTTCGAGCAAGGGCAGCAGGGTTGGCTCGGCGAGTTCACTGATCTGCACTATACGCTCTTGAATTCATGACTGCATTTCTCACAGGAGTGTTTTTAGTACGGCTACAAAATGTGAGTTTACTTTAATGCTGCTCCTTTATGCAAAAGGCTCGCAAGTATTTCTATACTGTATTTTAGAGAAAGAAAGGGATTTGCAAATGCAAAGGTTTGCTTTGATGAAGGGATTCCGAGTACATCATGAATGTTTTTTTTTTTTTGTAAAACTTTATTCTCTTTTTCATATATATATATCATCTTGCCTGAGAAAAATAGTTTAGTTACATAATTGCTGCGAGTAACAGTAAGATTAACAGTAACAGTCTATCTTTTTTTTTTTT